GGGGCAGTAAGGCCCACAGATGAGGACAGTAGCATCAATGATATGCAGACTGGCCAAGGGCCACCATAGAGCAGCACGCATCAAACTTTGGTGTGCACATGAATGACCTGGGAATCTTGCTAAAATACAGGTTCTGACACCGCGGGTCTGGGGTGGGGCCTGAGCTTCTGCATTTCTACCATGCTCGCGGCGGGGGGTGGGGGGGTACCAGTGCTGCTGGCTCTGAGATCACACTTCGAGTGACAAAAGTATTAACAAAGCTATTGATCCTGCCTGTAGCAGGCCCCCAGAACTTCACAGACACAGGCTCAAGTTCCTCCTATAGAAAATAAAATAAATATCCTTCCTCAGCTCCTGCAAGCTTTATGTCCCACCAGCTATTGCCCTGACGTAGTTCCTGAACTCAGCTGAGCTTCTCGAGGGTTTTAGCTCAGTGCTCTCACCTCCTCCCACTCTTCATCCAGGCCTAGCCACCTTGGGCCATTAACACAAGTATTTCCACTCTCATCTAAGGGCCTCCTACAGGCACCTGGCTTCACCCCCGCTCTTAGTGTGATCTTCCTGACACCACAGGAGGCGTCTCCATCTCCTTGGCCAGCCTACCGTCCTCTGTTCAGCCTTTAAGCATAGATTCTCCTCCTTCCCTTCCCCACTCAACTCTCTGCCAAGCCTCCCATGACAGTGACCTCCAAACACACATCTCCAACTCAGATTTCTCCCTGTCCTCCAGATCCCAAATAATCTGGCCACGTGGTGCGTTCTCTCAGCAATTCAAAACTGCACCCCAAACTCTGCCCTTGCCCTGAGAGCTGCCCCTTCTCCAAGGTTCTCCATCTCACCATCCATCTCCTAGCTTGAGCCAGACAGTGCCACCCTCGACACCTTCTTCCTAACCTCCCCGTATCCAATCTGATCAGCCCTGTTGATTTTAACTTTTGTCTCTTAAATGTCTTTATTCTGTTCTGAGGCACGTAGCCACCACTGTTATTAAATATCTGTCTCCTAGAGGGCTACCCGCTGGGCTCCTGCTTCCATACTGCCTTCTGCAGTCCACTTTCCCTGGGCAGCCGTAGGGGCGTCTCAAAATGAAAATTTAGTCATGCCCTCACCCTTACCCTTCCACCTCAAACCTTTCAAGACTTGTTGTCCGTCATATAAAACCAAATCTAAACTTGGGTGCACGGGGGGGCCCGCCTGCAGGGTGAGCCCCACCCAGCCCTGTGTCCAGTCTTATCATGCCCCTTCCTGCCTGCTGTTTCCAGCTGTGACCTCCACAGCGCTCGGCATCATTTGTCATCTCAAAATCACGTGCCCAATTATCTCCCCTGCCAGGCTGTGGGTCCCCAGGGCAGGGACAGTGTCTCTCTGGGTCACCGATGTCCCTCAGCATCTGGCACAGAGTGGGCACCAGAAAACATTTAGGAGGATCTTGATTCCAACAGAGCAAAGCCATTTTTGAGACTAGCTGGGCCTGCGGGGCTGAGCTTAGGATGAGATCAAGGAATTGCTGTTCATTTTGTTAGACGTGAGAATGGTGTTGTGATGATGTTTTTTTAAAACGTCTTTATCTGTTGGAGAGATGTGGTGAAGAGTTTATAGGTGAAACAACATGATGTCTGGGATTTGCTTCAAAGGACTCCAACCAAGAGTAAATAAATAAAATAAATAAGCATTTGGAGAGGGAACAAAGGAACAAATAAATCCCATTCTGCTTGTCTGTTCCTGTTGACAGCTACAGGGCCTGCAAGGATGCTGGCTGTTCCGGAGATGGGCCTGCAGGGGCTGTATATCGGTAAGACCCCCCCTGCTCTGCCCTGACCCATCACCCACCTGCCCCGGCACTGAGACCCACCCACAGGCTGTCCACGTGCGCCTCTCCCAGCAGAGCTTCCTAAGAGCCATTCTGAGTGCGTGTGTGTGTGTGTGTGTGTGTGTGTGTGTGTGTGTCTGTACATTTGCACAGGGTGAGTCTGTCCACAGGACCCCCGTGGGTTTGAGTGTGTGGGAGAGTGCATGTGTGTGTGCTGGGAGGGTCTGTGTGCACAGGACAGTATGCATGTGTGTGTGTCCTATGTTGGCTTTCCGTGTGCCAGAGCCTGTGTGTCAGTGAGTGTGTGTGTGTGTGTCTCTGCAGGTGGGTCTCTCTGCACAGGACCTAAGTGAGAGAGTACAGTCTACAGGTGTGTGTGCACGCCCAGAATTCTGTGTGTGCATGCTCATCTGCCGGTGGCCTGGTCTGGGAGCAGGCTCTGGGTTCTCTGCAGGGGTGGGAGGCCGGGAGGCAGGCGGGACACTCCTCAGGAAGTCCATTCACAAAGACCTGGCGGGCTGGGCCCTTCCTTCCTGCCTCTCTTCCCAGGCTCAAGCCACAGCAACTTGGCCTCTCAAGCTGGAGCTGGTGGCAGGGCCTGAGCCTGCGTTGACTGCCTGAGGAAAGGGAGCCCTTGGAATGTGACCACTATGTCCCTGCCCCTCCAGCACCTCAGACAGTCTCTGGCCCTGTCCAGGCACTTCCCAGAGTCCCTCTCATACCTGGCCCTTCACTTATGTTCCCAGGTTACCTCAGGGCCAGGGAGAGTTGGGGCCTGTCTAGGAGCACATGGCAGGACCCCTGCCCTGGCTCAGCCTGCAGTCAGACAGACCTGCCTGACTTGTCCATGGAGCTTCACACCAGACCCCCACTCCCTGTCCCTGTCCCTATCTGTGGATCTCAGGGCAGCCCAGTACCCCTGGTATGCCCCCTAGCAACACTCACCTAAGGGTCGTACTCAGTGATCAGCACTCAATGACCAGTTACCAGCCCACACCTGTGGGTGTCCAGCCAGGGAGGCCATCCTGTCCCACGAGCTACAGGATCCTCTAAACCAGGCCTTGGGCTTCCTTCCGGAAGCTACTCTATTTCCACCAAAGGTCCAGCCAATCCTGGGCCTGCACCAGGGTCTCAGTGAGGCCTCCCGCCCTCAAATGCTGGCTTGGGGTGTGTGTGGGGGGATGGTAATCAGACTCCCTAGCATGTGGACATCCCCTACTCTGGCTGGCCTGGGGGGAGCTGCTGGTTGTCCCAGGCAGCCAGCTGGGCCTGTCTGTGGCCCTGGTAGGGAGGAGGGGAGACCTCCCTCAAGTCCTGATTAGAACCATGTGGCCCAACTTCAGGGAGGAGGGGGGAGCAGCCCCACCCCGGGCCAGTGGCCCCGCCTCCCTGTCAGTTAGGTCTGTGGCTCCTCCCTTCTCCCCCGATCCCAGGAGCTCCTCCCCTCTTCATCTCTCCTGCCTTTCTGCCTCTAGACTCAGTCTCCCACACAATGCTTCTGTCTCTTTCCCCTCCCCCACTGTGTGTCTGAGGGTCCTGGGGGGACACAGTCCCCAGGTGAAGCATGCATCACTCTCCAAGGAAAGGTTGCCTCTGGCTGATAACAGGCCCTCAGCCCCTGCCCCTGCCTCATGCGTGTCCTTCCTGCCCCATCCCTGTCATCCAGCAGGGAGTCCCTTGCCCAGGCCCAGCCAGTATGGTTAGAGAACCTCCCAGTGTCAGGCCTGGGCCTGGCTGTCAGTGCCCTACCCTGACTATGCCAGGATGACCTGCCCTCTCTTCTCTGTAGGCTCCAGCCCGGAGCGGTCCCCAGTGCCCAGCCCACCCGGCTCCCCAAGGACCCAGGAAAGCTGCAGCATCGCCCCCCTCACACCCTCGCAGTCTCCTGTAAGCCTGGGGTAGGGATTGGGTGGGGGGTGGCACGGAGGGGTGTTGTGCCTGGCAGAGGCATGGCAGGGGCTGGCCTGGGAAGGAGGAGGGGCATGAGGATGCCACCATGCCTCCTCCCTGCACACTAGAGGCATGTGCCCCTCCCTTGGGTGGCCTTGGACTGTAGGACAGCAATTCTACTGAGATGGTCAGCCCGACTTCCCCCAACCTGCCTTGCTGTAGGACGGCACCCAGGGGCCACTGCAGCTGGCTTGGCTGGAGGTTCTTCTAGGTCCTCAGAGCACTGGGCCTTCCAGAGTTACTCCCCCTCCTGTGGATCACAGCCCACTTTAACCCAAGTCATATTGGGGGAAGAGGAGACACAGTGCTAAAAAAATAGTTTGGAACCTACTAGCTTGAAGTAACCAGGACGTAACCTCCCCAGCACCAAGCTCCCTGGGTTACCTCACCCTGGATGGTCTTGTCTTGGTGATTCAAGTCGGGAACCCCTTTGTTCTCAGGAAGACCAGGCCTGGCCTGGGAGAAGGTAGGGACCACTCTGGGCATGTGCATGTGGCCTCTCCTCTCTGCCACAAAATTGGACAGAGTCTGGTTTGTGTCACTGTGGCCACAAAGAGCAAGAGGGTAAAATATATACAAGTCCATGTGCTGTAAAGCTGCCCAGAGGAGCACAATTGCTCCTAGCTGGGCCCAGGCTGGTGGCAGGCTGTGAAGACAGTGCGAGATGAGCGTGGGGCTAAGGTGGTCCATGCAGAGGGTGGGCACAGAGCAGGAAGCAGGAAAGCAGGAGCTTAAGCCAAAAACTGCAAGGGGGTACTGAGAGGCCTCAGACTTTCTGAGCAGTTGGCGTGTCCAGGGCTCAGCCTGGAGCCTAGGAGGGGAGCCAAGGCAGCCAGGCAGGTGGGGTGGGCCAGGGCTGGTCTGGACCATAGCCAGCAGAGGGGAGGAGCTCCCAAGTGCAGTTGGGGGGCGCTGCTGGCTGCCTGCTAACTCTAGGTCTTGCACTTGCAGAAGCCCGAGGCCCGAGCCCCCCAGCAGGCCTCCTTCTCTGTTGTGGTGGCCATCGACTTCGGCACCACATCCAGTGGCTATGCCTTCAGCTTTGCCAATGACCCTGAGACCATCCACATGATGAGGTGAGAGCAGCTGGGCTGGGAGATTGAGCGGGGTGGTCACACCCTGGGATGAACTTGGTCCCAAAAGTACTGTCACTGAGACATGGGGTCTCCTCAGAGGACCTGCCACCGCTAGTCTGGAGCTCCCTATTGGGGCAAAAGGTTGGAGGACTGGTCCTAGGCCTGGGCCCCCAGCCTCAACTGCAGCAGCTCTCAGCCCCCTGCAGGAAATGTCAGGCTTTGTTTTTAATTTTAAATTTTCATTGGTATATAAAATATAATAAACATAAACTACAAATCTAAGCTTGTACACAAACGCATATATGCACATATATGAGTTTTTAAATAAAAGGGGGATATTGTACAACTTGCTTTAAACTTTCAGCACTATTGGTAGCTGTTTCATGTCAGTACATACAGAACTACCACTTTCTTTGAACAGTTGCATAGTATTCCGTAGTACAGATGTGTCGTACTTTATCCACTCCTCTGTTGATGGTTTTAGGGTTTTTTTTCCCTCTCATTTTTCACTATTACAAAGAGTGCCACAAGGAATAGCCTTCTCTAAAAATTTGTGCTGGGGTCTCCCTGGGGCAGATTCCTAGAGGCGATTCCTAGGTCCAACATCCAAAAAAAAACCTCAAGAAAATGAAGGTTTGTTGTAAGCTCTGGTTCTGGTTAGAAAATAAATAAATAAGGAAAGAAAGAAAGAAAAGGAAGGTTGAGGGGGCTGAGTTGACAAGTCACATAGTTGTTATGAAAGAGATGTTTGAAAAATCCATTCTGATGTTGTTGGGTTTTAGCTGAACGAAACATTTGTTTGAACACTCTGGACCTGGAATGTGTATTATGGGCCCGCAGCCAGTAAGCAGAGCTATAGAAGACCTCAGAGCTCTCAACCCAGACTGGGGTGGGAGGTACAGAGGGGCTTCCCTAGGGCCTGGAGGTTGGATGGAAGGGTGAATGGAGAGACAGAGAGGTCACTGTCCCGTCCCAAGGAGACATGGGACTTGAGCTTCATGAGATTGGAATGACCGTCCTTCCCCTTTTTCTGCTCCCTCCACATCACAGGAAGCCACAGAGGCTCTGGGCACTTACAGCCTCTAGGAGCTGCAGGGGACCCCAGCTGGCATGCTCATCAGCACATGCGGCTGAGGCCATGCTGGGGCCAAGGACACATGAAGGGACACTGTCTCTGTCCTGTGGCGGTTACAGTCACAGAAAGTAACTGGGGACATCCTGGCCCCCTGCCAAGCCCTCCCAAGCCTTCCCTTCCCATCTCCACCAGACACTAAGCCCCATTATTTTCGTGTCTCCCTAATATCTCTGGAATACCCATCCACTTCTCTCCATGGCCACTGCCCCTGCCCGAGTTCAGCCCCACCCTCTCTCACCTGGCCCGTTCCAATATCCTCCTCCCTTCCCTTCCAATCTGTTACTACATGGGGACCAGTGACCTTTCTTTCTACAGGCAATTGTGGGCATGCCTCTTTACTCCACTACTTAAAATCCACCAAGATAGAATTTTGATACGGCATCCAGTGCTCTTCATGATCTGACCTTAGCATCCCTGTATTTTCTCCTGCTGCATACTGAGCCAACCTATTGCTAGGCTCCCTGCTCTTTCATAGCTCTGAGCTTTTGCACATGCCGTCCCTCAGCCTGGATTCCCATGAAGGGAGGGTCGCCGCTGGCAACACTGACCGCCCCGTGCCTCCGCAGGAAATGGGAGGGCGGAGACCCGGGCGTGGCCCACCAGAAGACCCCGACCTGCCTGCTGCTGACCCCGGAGGGCGCCTTTCACAGCTTTGGCTACACTGCTCGCGATTACTACCACGACCTGGACCCCGAGGAGGCGCGGGACTGGCTCTACTTCGAGAAGTTCAAGATGAAGATCCACAGCGCCACTGTGAGCAACATCCCGGCTGCGGGAAGGGCTCCGGCCAGGGAGGCGGGGCCAGGATAGAAAGGGGCGGGGCTATGGAGGTGCAGCAAAGCTAAAAGACGTGAGGAAGCGCCTGCTGGAGGAGGGGCTAAGAGGAGGCGGGGCTCAGAAGTGAGAGGGTGGGGCGGGGCTCAAGGGGAGGGACTGCTGGCGAAACTTGGTTTGGAGGAGGAGTGGGGCTCAGGAGAGGGGGAGGCTGGAGACGGCTAATGTGAGATTGGGGAGAGAATGCGGCGGTGGTAAAGAGGGGAAGCGCCAGGAAATGGGTTGATTTTAAGAGAGAGGTCGTCAGGAAATGGGGGCAGAGTTATGGCCTCCTATAGAGCCGCCCTGGGTCCCTGCCAGGATCTCACCTTGAAGACTCAGCTAGAGGCGGTAAATGGAAAGAAGATGCCCGCCCTGGAGGTGTTCGCCCATGCCCTGCGCTTCTTCAAGGAGCACGCTCTTCAGGTGCACTGCAGCCCCATCTCTGCCGACTGTGGCGGGACCCCGGGTCCATCCTTTCCCTTCATCCCACCCTGCCCATCCGATGGGTAGCCACTGCTAGAGGTCACAGGTCATCTTCCTCAGTCCCCTGCCTTCTTGTCCTATAGAGCCTGCACCAAGCCACACAGGCGGGAGGGGGGATTCTTCTATCTCAGCTGGGAAGCCCTTCCTGTGGTTTGACTAGTTCCTCCAGTTTTCATAGAGGGCTGAGGATCCACCCCCTACCCCAAGCCAGCTGTTCCCCTCACTGCCCCCTCCTGCTCCAGGAGCTGAGGGAGCAGTGCCCATCGCTGCCAGAGAAGGACACTGTGCGCTGGGTATTGACGGTGCCTGCCATCTGGAAACAGCCGGCCAAGCAGTTCATGCGGGAGGCTGCCTACCTGGTGAGGACGTGCAGGTGGGGCAGAGAACGCTGTTCAAGAAGGCCCTGGGGATTGCCCCAACCCTTCATTTACTCCCCCACCCTTGGGACCACAGAGTCCGTGTAAAGACTTCCAGCCTTCTCCTGCTGGGAATTTTGGAAAATTGTTGCCACCAGGAGAGGGAGTGGGCCTGCGGGAACAGGGCACAGATGGACAAGAGGCACAGCCCAGGCCAGAATAGACAGTGTCTGAAGTGAGGTTTCCTAGAAGCAGAGTCCAAGATGCAGAGTTTGTGCACGTGGTCTATTTAAGACGGGTTCTCAGGAGAAGGGGAGGAAGGGAAGCAGGACAGAAGGAGCTGAGCAAGGTTGTGGTCTTGGCTGGAGTCTATCCTCAGCCTAATCCCAGGGAGAGTTGTAGCACAGTTAGTTGACCACAGTGAGGCAAGGGGCTGGCTTCTTGTCAGTCCCTATCAGTCTGTCATTGGTTGCTGAGGGAGTGGGAGGGAAACCTCTCCAAGTGAAGCAGTTCCCATTCAGCTTGAGGTCAGTTGGTCCAGAGGAGGGGACACCTGTAAGCCAATAGCAGCGAACACTGACAGTGGTAGGCAGGACACCCAGAACATCCACTTCGGCTGGCATCAGTATTTTCAGGAATACTCCCACCATTGTCCCAACCTTTGTAGGGTTTTTTTTGTTGTTGTTTGTTTGTTTGAAACAGAGTCTCGCTCTGTTGCCCAGACTAAAGTGCTGTGGCATCAGCCTAGCTCACAGCAACCTCAAACCCCTGGGCTCAAGCGATCCTCCTGCCTCAGCCTCCCGAGTATCTGGGACTATAGGCACGTGCCACCACACCCGGCTAATTTTTTCTATTTGTGTGTGTGTGTGTGTGTGTGTGTGT